TACCCCGCAATCCAAAATGGTCCAGATCACGGAGTATCCCATATCGCCAACAGCGATCATAGGCCTTCTCTATATCAAAAAACACAGACACTAGGTGCTGTCGTCTAACAAACGCTTCCCGAATAGATGTTTCAAGTTATCAGTGGTACTTCTATTCCTACAAAAACCACTCTGATGTGGTGAAAAGTATTCATTTTTCTCTAAGAGATACATCAGACGTCTGTTTACCATCCTCTCAAAGAGTTTACACAGGCAACTTGTCAGAGAGATTGGTCTGTAATTAGAGGGATTCTTGTGGTCTTTACCAAGCTTGGGAATGGGAATAATGATAGATAGCCTCCAAGAGTCAGGAAAAGTATGTTCTGTCCATATTCTGTTAAACAGACACAGCAGATTAGAAAGGGAATTACGAGTACTTAGTAAGAATTTAGTAAGAATTGGTAAAAGTTGCCCTGCAGTATGCGAATGCGGGGTAGAAACACAAGACTTAGAACATATACTCCTGAAATGCCACAAATACAAAAAAGAAAGAATGGAGTTGAAGCCCCTGCACGAACAAGACACAAGTTTGGAGTCTTAAAACTTTATAACCTAATCCGCAACAGAAACCTGGCTAAAGAACTACAAACCTTTGCGAGAAGGGTACTAATGTAAAAATGGGAAGACAAGCGATCTTCCCATCTATTTGCCGGAAAATCACCGGCTTCTCTTGTACAAGCGCGACAAGAACGCATTATATTTTGTAATGTTATATTTTACTTTTGATGTTTGTTTATTGAATGTATGTCAATTACTAGTTGTTTAAACAAAAAGCAACGTTTTCCTTGTGATGCCAATGGTGGGACAAGGATGACTGATCCTTGCAAGAGGAAATGATGATCATTCAATGAAAAAATAACACCAATTGAACTTTTGGTTCAACCCAATACTTTAATTTTTTTTGTAATATTATTTACTTTATGTGCGATAAAAGAGAATAATTAAACTAGTTTTTGATATTTTAAACTATTTACTATTAAAATAAACCACTATCAGATATAAAATAGATTGTTATTAAAAAAAACTACGACTGCTGACCTTGAACAGCTTCATGAGGCCATTACGACGCGCCAGCGTTCAAAACCAAGTGCATAGACGACCACGAGAGGCCACCACTAGCATGCAGAAAAACATCATACGAAGCCAGGATAATTTAACCTTGAGTGAAACTGCATTGTTTAATTGACGGCAGATGGTCAAACGGCACTAAACAACTGCACGATGTACGACCGCCGGCAGTTAATGTGTTAAATGAAAAACAAATGCAACCATAACATAAATCTCTCTTCTTTACATGTGTACTTATTTTAAGTAAAATGTTTATAAGTTTATAATAAACGATTTTTTTCTCATAGAATAATTTCATTATTGTTTTGCAACCCCCAGGTTTAGAAATGCTATTTTATAGGATAGAATTGTTTCTAAATATAATGAAATTGTGCAACTAAAATCAATTATTCGTGAATTACAGAAGAAAATTTAAAATTTTGAGAAAAAAGAAAACAATAGACCCAGGAACATCAAAAACTTGGGAATGGAATGAGAACCTTCCCCTACTGTTCTAGAGGATGATAGGAAGTCAAGCAGTTCGTCTGTTTCACCTATTAACATGATGATTAACTTAATAAACCAAATTAGGAAGTAATGTGAAACTAGATTTAATAAACGTGAGAGTACATTTGTAAATGCATAATGGGCTGACTCAAATTCTTCGACCAGTCCTACACTTCCAAAAGCTCCTACCATTTTACAACAGTTAATATCTTGGCCCGTTTTTGATCCACAAAATAAAAATATTTGGCTGGAAAACCTGCATGGGATAAAAAATATTTTGAATTAGACAACATGACATTTATTTCCACTCTAAAGCTACAATCATATATAGATTTGGTAAGAAGAATTAG